GCCGTGGTTTGTGTCTGAACTATTGAAAAAGATATCTCGAACATGGTGGTCCAGTGTAGGTAGTATTCTTCAATAAGCTGCCATGGTTTGTGTCTGAACTATTGAAAAAGATATCTCAAACGTGGAGGTCCAGTGTAGGTAGTATTCTTCAATAAGCTGCCGTGGTTTGTGTCTGAACTATTGAAAAAGATATCTCGAACATGGTGGTCCAGTGTAGGTAGTATTCTTCAATAAGCTGCCATGGTTTGTGTCTGAACTATTGAAAAAGATATCTCAAACGTGGAGGTCCAGTGTAGGTAGTATTCTTCAATAAGCTGCCGTGGTTTGTGTCTGAACTATTGAAAAAGATATCTCGAACATGGTGGTCCAGTGTAGGTAGTATTCTTCAATAAGCTGCCATGGTTTGTGTCTGAACTATTGAAAAAGATATCTCAAACGTGGAGGTCCAGTGTAGGTAGTATTCTTCAATAAGCTGCCGTGGTTTGTGTCTGAACTATTGAAAAAGATATCTCGAACATGGTGGTCCAGTGTAGGTAGTATTCTTCAATAAGCTGCCATGGTTTGTGTCTGAACTATTGAAAAAGATATCTCAAACGTGGAGGTCCAGTGTAGGTAGTATTCTTCAATAAGCTGCCGTGGTTTGTGTCTGAACTATTGAAAAAGATATCTCGAACATGGTGGTCCAGTGTAGGTAGTATTCTTCAATAAGCTGCCATGGTTTGTGTCTGAATTACCTGAAAATATTAAAATGCTTTAATGTTTGAAGCGAAGGTCAGGGGGTTAGTAGCAGCTTCCTGAGGAAGGATTTCACTTGAAATATTGAAGTGTTTTCAATCATTTAAGACAGAAACTATGCGGCATATGCAAATCATTGTTCAAGAAATATACCAATTAAAAGAGAAATGTATATGTATTTTAACTCTTGTAGTTATTAGATTTCAATTCATTCCAGTATTATAAATCACATCAAGGCTTTATTTTATTCTTTATTTAGCACATCAAAGACAAATTCTGGAATTTTATTTTCTACAAATTCATCTTTATATTTGGTGTTCTTAACGTGCAACAAATGAACGAGGCGATGTTGTGGTGTGCTTGGTTTACAATTATTGGTTTCTTTCAACTTTTTACCCAGTTGTGTTGTGATAGATTTCAATATGTGAGTAGACTTTGACCAACATTTTATAGCTAGGTTTCACCAAGCACTATCGTGTGTATATAAATACAATAAAGAGATGTTATTTAGTTAGTTTGCTGTTTGGTCAATTTGCGGTTTGGTTTGTTTAGTCAGTTTGGAGGCAAATAATACAATAGAGAGATGTTGTTTAGCCAGTTTGCTTCTAAAGTGTCAATATTTACAGCCCTGACATACTAACTCAACACAGCTGCTGGCAGGCCTCGAATTTCCCTGAAATCAATCAACGGCAATGGTGTTAAAAATTGCCGTAGAACGTAACAGCTGTCTACGGCAATTTTGGCAGTTTCCACGGCATTTTTTCAAATTACTGTAATAAATATTTTATTTTATTTTTACTTTGGATTGTTGACAAGCTAGAAACATGTTTACGTATTTCTTTAGTGTTTTTTTTTTCTTGAAGAAAACTGAGACTTAAAAATAGTAATTTATGCATGATTTGATCAACATCTGAACTCAAGTATCAAAATAGTAATGCACAGTGAATAGTATAAAAATTATACTATGTACAGCAAAAAATTGCCATCGTTGCCGCAATGATCCACGGCATTTTGTTCTCCCTCTACGATAATTGCCATGATAAAATTCAAGCCCTGGCTGCTGGTAGTTGCTTGAAAACGTCTTATCTTATATATGCTTGCTTTGTTATTTTACTTTGTCTAACACCAGACAATTTTACCCATAAAGTAAATGTGTTTGGTGCTAATGGTTTAAAAATGATATTTTTCAGTTGTGTTATTCTCCATCAACCACCAACGTACAACATGGCAAAGTCGTGTCGCTTGTTGGTGGAATTATCTTCTCTTGTTGTGCCTTGACTGGACTGTCATTGTATGTTGGACAACAGAAAGATATTCATGTTTTCTTCTTTTTATTTTGTGAGGTGATTATGCAACCTAATATTTACTTCCAGATATGCACTGTTAACAAACATGTACAGAAAGATGGACAGACAGACAGATGTTTGGCTAGACATACAGACAGATGAAAGCATAGACAGACAAACAGATGTTTGACTAGACATACAGACAGATGAAAGCATAGACAGACAAACAGATGTTTGATTAGACATACAGACAGATAAAAGCATAGACAGACAAACAGATGTTTGGCTAGACATACAGACAGATGAAAGCATAGACAGACAAACAGATGTTTGACTAGACATACAGACAGATGAAAGCATAGACAGACAAACAGATGTTTGACTAAACATACAGACAGATGAAAGTTTGACTAGACATACAGACAGATGAAAGCATAGACAGACAAACAGATGTTTGGCTAGACATACAGACAGATGAAAGCATAGACAGACAAACAGATGTTTGACTAGACATACAGACAGATGAAAGCATAGACAGACAAACAGATGTTTGGCTAGACATACAGACAGATGAAAGCATAGACAGACAAACAGATGTTTGACTAGACATACAGACAGATGAAAGCATAGACAGACAAACAGATGTTTGGCTAGACATACAGACAGATGAAAGCATAGACAGACAAACAGATGTTTGGCTAGACATACAGACAGATGAAAGCATAGACAGACAAACAGATGTTTGGCTAGACATACAGACAGATGAAAGCATAGACAGACAAACAGATGTTTGACTAGACATACAGACAGATGAAAGCATAGACAGACAAACAGATGTTTGGCTAGACATACAGACAGATGAAAGCATAGACAGACAAACAGATGTTTGACTAGACATACAGACAGATGAAAGCATAGACAGACAAACAGATGTTTGACTAGACATACAGACAGATGAAAGCATAGACAGACAAACAGATGTTTGGCTAGACATACAGACAGATGAAAGCATAGACAGACAAACAGATGTTTGACTAGACATACAGACAGATGAAAGCATAGACAGACAAACAGATGTTTGACTAGACATACAGACAGATGAAAGCATAGACAGACAAACAGATGTTTGACTAGACATACAGACAGATGAAAGCATAGACAGACAGACAGATGTTTGGCTAGACATACAGACAGATGAAAGCATAGACAGACAAACAGATGTTTGACTAGACATACAGACAGATGAAAGCATAGACAGACAAACAGATGTTTGACTAGACATACAGACAGATGACAGCATAGACAGACAGACAGATGTTTGGCTAGACATACAGACAGATGAAAGCATAGACAGACAGACAGATGTTTGGCTAGACATACAGACAGATGAAAGCATAGACAGACAGACAGATGTTTGACTAGACATATAGACAGATGAAAGCATAGACAGACAGACAGATGTTTGACTAGACATATAGACAGATGAAAGCATAGACAGACAAACAGATGTTTGACTAGACATATAGACAGATGAAAGCATAGACAGACAAACAGATGTTTGACTAGACATACAGACAGATGAAAGCATAGACAGACAGACAGATGTTTGACTAGACATACAGACAGATGAAAGCATAGACAGACAGACAGATGTTTGACTAGACATATAGACAGATGAAAGCATAGACAGACAAACAGATGTTTGACTAGACATACAGACAGATGAAAGCATAGACAGACAGACAGATGTTTGACTAGACATACAGACAGATGAAAGCATAGACAGACAGACAGATGTTTGACTAGACATACAGACAGATGAAAGCATAGACAGACAAACAGATGTTTGACTAGACATACAGACAGATGAAAGCATAGACAGACAGACAGATGTTTGACTAGACATACAGACAGATGAAAGCATAGACAGACAAACAGATGTTTGACTAGACATACAGACAGATGAAAGCATAGACAGACAAACAGATGTTTGACTAAACATACAGACAGATGAAAGCATAGACAGACAAACAGATGTTTAGAAGAATGAACAGACAAACAGATGTTTGGCTAGACATACAGACAGATGAAAGCATATACTGACAAACAGATGGTTAGAAGAATGAACAGACAAACAGATAGTTAGACTGTGGAAGTGTAAGAAACAGAAAAAATAAACAGATAGACAGATGAAAAAACAGTCTGGCAACCATTTTAATAGTCAAATTAATAAATTGAACATGTGTTGTCACTATTAAATTTTCAGATCAGTTTGCTGTCACTGAAAGTTTTACATCTGGCAACAAAGTAAGTGAACTATCAGAATTTCATCAACTCCTCAAGTGAAATAGATCTTGCTGATTGTGACCAGTGTATAGCTGCCATTGATTGAACAGGCACCATCCTATTTCCCTGAGGAGTTGACATTGTAATATTTTATATTCAGATATACAATCTATTTGTTGGACTTGAAAAGTAACTCAACTTGGCAAAACCAGAAAACTGTGACATATTATAGCGACATTGGATTTGATGTGACCATTTTAGTTGTGGATATCATTTACCATGTTTATATGTTGGTATGTGTGGATGAAAAATTGTTATACTGTTACTAGCTCAATTTAGCCATCAGAAAAGACAGTGAGTATACTAGGTAATTATAAAGATCACAAAATGGTCTGATATTTGCTAGAAAGGATTATTTTGTTGAGATGCATCATAATTTGTTTTAACTGTAAGCAATGAACTATGTTGACAAATTTCAGATTTATTCCAATATCTTCCTGAGTATGGCGAGCTTGGTTCTGTGCATGCAACTACGTTCATTGTTCCATGACATAAAACACAGGCTGGCAAAACATCGCAAGATCATCCGAGTGAGAAAAATCGTTGAACAGAGGTACTGTAGTCTGATCAGAGGCTCTTTATCAATGTCTGTGGATGCCAGTTAAAATTGATGGCAATTCACAGCTGTCAATTAGCTAGAATCTTAGTGTCAAACAGCAGAGTTTTGTAGGAGATACAACTATATGATAATACAAAAAGAGCAGAGGCCCTTTGCCTCAAGTTAGTTGTAACTCCTACAAAAGACTGCTGTTTGTCAATTAGATATCTTGTAATATGCAAATTGCTGTTGTATTGTTTGTCAATTATATTAGCTTAAATAGTTCAGACCCTCAACAAAATCAACAGTGATTGTTTTAATAAACAGCACAAGTAATGTAATGTATTTGTACAGGTTTGAAAATGCCTCGGCTGAACTCCTTGAAGAAAGCTCGGATAATAAATGCGCTATCTGTTGGGAGAAAATGCAACGGGCAAAGAAATTGAATTGTGGACATTTATTTCACAGGTACGGCAATAAAATTTCTCAAAATCATCACCAAGGCCTTGATACCACTGTAATAAGCATCTTAAGTCAACATTTGCGTTGAATTTTACTTTCTTGTAGTGATTGTCTCTGTTCATGGTTGGTTCATGATTCTTCATGTCCCACATGTCGTCATTCTTTGGAAGAAGAAATGAAAGATCCGAGCCAGCAGGGAGACAGGTTGCCCAGGAGGACATTGTTAAGGAATCATTTCTTTCATTTTGATGGTCGACAAATTGCGTCTTGGTTCCCCAGTTTCTCTGTTGAAGTTTTACATACCAGAATGGCTGCTGACACAACGCAGATTCCAGAAAGCAGGATTGATACAATGGTAGTTATTCTCAGAGTTATAAAGACAATAAGTATGGCGAACGCCTTGTGGCAAATTGTACACAGCTTGTTGACAACTTGCCACAACGTTGTTGAGCTCAACAGACTTGTTACAAGTTGTTCCAACAACTTGTTATGGTCCTGCAATTCAACAATTTGTCAACAAGTTGTGAGTGACAACCTTGCAGTAACTTGGTAAAATAACAGCATTGTTACAACTTGTTGACAAGCGTATAATGAAAATAATGAACTAAATTCTTGTCTCTTCACAGGCGCATGAAGTTCAAGCAATCTTTCCGAACATACCAATCCAGGTGATCCGAGCAGATCTGACAAGAACACACTCAGTCGACATCACAACAGACAATATCTTAGAAGGAAATATTCATATTCCCGCTGCTGTGGTAAGTGCACGTTGGGCATTTTCGCTCATCAATTATGCTTGAATTTAAGGTTCCATCCAAGAATCTTCAGTCGTAAATAAAAGCAATGTGTATTCTCATGTTCGTCATGTTTAACTAGCCTTTAAATGCTCGTTACAAATATTGAAGTAAGGTAAAAAATAACTGGGTTTCCTACTTTTTGCTGCAAAAACTCAGGTAGGGTAGGTAGGGTTTTCTTTCTTTCGTATCGGCCTAACTAAGATATTTATTGCACGATGACGTATTCCTGAATGAAACTCTAGGCATGGCAAGAGTCGACAGGGAATGAGCCCGCACTACAAGCATTACCAGGCGCATCACAGAATGTATCTGAAGAACACGAACTACCACCTGAACCGACCAATCACGAGAGAGAAGAAAGACAGCCGACAGTTGAAGAGAGAGACGTGGAGGAGACTGGCACTAGCGCGGTTCAAAGGACTAGGGCGAATGAACGAGGGACGTTTGGAGTTGATTTTGCGGAACAGACGGATCAGAGACAATCATCTTTAATTGATCGCAAGAAACAAATGTTGCAGAATGCAAGGAAGTACGTGATTTAGTTTTCTAATTTTAATTCTAATTCTTTACTTTTAGTTCTAATATATTTACCACCAAATACAGTACTACTACACACAGAGAAATATTATTTTCTCATTATTTTGTCTTGTAACTGCAGATTAACCTGCTGCACCATAGTGCTCGTGAAATACCGGAAACGAAATAATCTGGACATGAACTTTCTCTTATTTAGGCGGTTTTTGGAAAAGAAATAGACAGACTGTTTAGTTTCCACGTTGTGTGACGTCGCGTGCAGTGGAGCAGAGATGTGATCCATGTATGCAGGTAGGATTCGCTCTCGGGAAAATACGCCAACATCGGCAAAAAGAGAAGTATTTTCATACGTATATTTTTAGAAGGAAATGATTTTTGCAGTGAACACAATATAAACAGAACTTGTATAGCCCCAATGGGGAAATGACAAATGAAACAAAATGAATTTTAGCTGAAGTTGGTTTTGAGTTGGTGTGCAAGAACAGTTTCAGTTGGTGTGCAATCTTACCACTTCTAAATACGCCTCGTATTCATAATTTAATGTAAACCTTATTCTTTAATATCATCCACACAGCGACTGATCGATCATCGGAATTGCTAAAGTTCCTGCATTTTCCAATGGTATACAACCGATTATTTTTGGAAACAACTCTTTAGAGACAGTAAATTTGCCAAGCTACAGCATGTTGAGGTTTCTTTGCAAAGCCACGAACTGCTTACTGGGTTGAAATTTATTGTCTGTGGTGATAAAATTGTATAAGTGATGCGTTAAATGATGGCCTTTTACTAGGTTTTTTTGGGCACAAAAGCCATTTAAAGTTCATGCCAATGTACGCGCAAAATGAATGACGTCATGGTTCAATTGGTTTCAACATCGGGATCGAAATTGGCCCGACTTGGAACAATCATTAATCGGCAATTTCCGATCGTGGCACGATCCGTCAATCGCTACTCCACACTTTTAAAAACGCACTACTGTACATCCATAATGAATTCAATAAACATTATATATAGGTGTATATTACACCATCACATCTACAGTGATATACAACATAGTATCTTTGAGAATCACTGTGTCTTTGAGAATTTCTCAAAACGTAAATAATAAATTATATACCTGTTACTGTAGGTAAATATTTATAGGTAGTTGTAATATTAATAGCTAGTTTTGTATAGAATTTACATAGTTCCTATAAAACAATAAATCTAGGAATTTGTCGTTGTATTGCTCTGTGGTTTCTCGCCAGCTCTGCTAACATGCTGCCGCTTTTCAAACTCGACAACCTAGAAAAGTATTTACTGAATCCAAATATTTCGTCAAAAATCTTAAATTTGATGTTCAGGGATTTTCCTAAGTAAAGATTTTCAGAGGTAAATCCTGCGTTTTGAAGGATTTGTAAGAAATATTTAACACTGAATCAGTTCCCTCAAACATTTCTTACAAATCCTTCAAAACTTAGAATTTACCCATGCACAATTCCTACTGTGATCACAGAAACGTGATAATGTAAACCAGTCTTTACAAACATTAGGCTAAAGAAGCAGTCGTGGTTTTGGTCTGCCTGAAAATATGGTGAAAGCATGTCCAGAGAAGGTAAAATAGTTTATTGTATAGAAAGCTATATCCATTATTGAAACCTCTAAAGAATCCATAATAATCCAATATTATTTACCGTTGCAACATTTAACTCAGCCAGTCTTTTCATTTCATTGTTGAGGCCTTCTGATGTCTTAAGATCCTAAATAAAATGAAGTATTGTTAGTGTTCGCCTACGGAAATATACAAGCATCGCGGGTACGCTAGATCGTGCGGTATGCTTGGTAAATATATGAAAAGTCACGGGAGGAGCTTGTTTCCTTGTTTGATCTTGTTTAACAGGTATGTATTAGAATTTTAGAAAAAGCATTCCATTAGAAGTGGAGAAATATAGGTATTGCTGTCTTTGCCTGAATATCTTGAGATTTATACCGTTGTTTCCTAGTGGTCCATTAAACATTTGTATTTCTGAATAGTGACTACCTTGAGAAAGCTCTTGCAAAGGTAATAAAGTCTTTCTGAACAAGTTGTAAAATATTCTTCCGCCGGATCTACTCCATATTTGATCAACGCTCTTTTTACAACTCGAGCTAAACGCTGCCGGATAAGAAAACAAACAGATTCAAAAATTGAACAGATTAGATTCAGTAACATGCATACATGGAATATTTAACGTACTACTTAACTGTGAATTTTTAGCAACTTATGATTAATGCTTACTCTTTTATGTCTGTCTGATCGTTTCTCCTTCGTATTTGTATCTGTAAAAAAATAACATGTCTGTTTATATATATGTTACAGTCAGGTATCATTCTGTTTGCACATAGAGGAAGCCAAGAAGGGATGAACAGGTCTATCGTGTGAAAAGCAAGAGAATGTCAAGATGGTATGTTCTTACCTGTTGCTGTTTCGTTGCCATCAAATGATCTTCGTTTTTTCTTAGACCCTTCTGCCGAGGGATCTGGTTTGACCACCGATTCTTTATTTCTTTGCTCATTTGATCTTTCACGATTTTCTGGCCTGAACAAAAACAAGTCGGAGCTCTCAGAATATTCCCAGGCCTGGACGCAAGGACATTCGTTCTTACCTTTTCTTTCTCGTTTGTTCTAATTGTTCTAATGTGTGAGACCTTGATGCATCACTTGTTCCATCGTCTGTGGTCTTTGATGCCTTACGTTTCACATCCTGCAACTTTGCTTTCGCCAGTGTCTTGGGAGTATTACATATCGACAGTGTTTCATGTTTTGGAAGAAGTTTGGCTGAGGAGCTCACGGCTGAGATTTTGTCTAAACAGTATCTGCAAGGGAAATATAGGCTCGTCTTGCGTCTCATTTACTTAGAACTCTGACATTCTACATTTATATCAACACATTCACTTACTCCACTCCAGCAACCGTTTCATGACGTTTTTCAATTTCTGCATAAAAAATCTCATATTACTGTTTTATTACTCACCGCGTGAACTAATTATTTGTATTACAAAAGTTAACTGGTTAATATTTAAATACCTGTCTGTTTACTTGGTGATATCTTTCGCTTTTCTTCGATCTTAAAGGGTAGAGTTATCAATTTATACATTTTAAGAACAGCGCGGTGATATTTCTGGCGATAGTCGAGACCACAGACTATTGAAACTATTGGTGTGAAAGACGAGCGTTGCTATGTAGGCTTGTACCTGTTTTAAAAGTGACTTCAGGTTTTTTTTCATTGGTTTGCCATCTTTTGTAAAGTGTTTCAACATCTCGGAAGCATCCAAATGCACTAACAAAGACGTAATGTACTGTTTAATGAACGGGTGGAGTGTTGAATCTAAGAGGTGTAAATTAAAAACAGGGGAACATTACCTGCCAAGGAGAACTGACTCTTTAGTGGACTTTTTTGTGAACTATACACAAACAACGAAATTGATATGAATTTCTTACAATAGATTGCAAGGCTGGTGGATGGTCAATGATCTATCTAGCTATCTTTCTGACATGAAATATTTTATCACACCTTTCAATCGCATCAAGTAATTGTAGCCATCTTCGCTCCTCGGTATCTTCGTACAACGTGGCTTTCTCTTTAGAGATAAAAGGAAAACATGATGACTATGTGTTTTTGACTTCAAGTTACAACTCTCCAGTTCTGTCTCCTCGTAATAAACGAGTACAAGCTTCTGCTAAAACTAACCGATGGACTGTTTTACGTCCATCGCAGGTTTTAACAGACGCTTGTAAAAGTGTCTCTGAGGGGAATCAATAACTCTCTTTCTGGTTGCAGTTCCAAAGCCACAGATGAACGTCAACTTTCCTGCTATTGTGAAGATAGTTCGCTTACCTTTTTCCGCACAAGGAAATATTGCTTGGTAAATAGCAAGTGAGGAATGTAGGTTGATAAAAGAATCTTCAGGTCGAATGAAATAAGCAAGAAATATTCCAGGTTCCACTGGGTACGAAACAAGATGGTGTGTCTCAATCACGGGAAATTTTGTTTGCATTTTGTCTAAATAAAAATGACGTTCGTTTTATCAACTTGTTTTAAACCTTAGACTTAGTATGAATGCAAAATTACCAATACGAACTAGCCTTGGTTTGATAGAAGAATAAAACGCAATTACCATGGTCTGATGTGTTGGACTCGCTAGTTATAAACTCCATCCAATCTTTAGTAGTTCTCACTTGATGTTTCCTAGCACAAATTGCTATTGATGACAATAGTAGAGTATCCTTTAACAGAAAACGTCGAGGTATATGATAACTAGTTGTACCAGTCAAACCTATGGTAACGTATTGGATGAATTATTGAAACATCGAATAAAGGCAAAGCACGTACCTTGTTCTCACTCAATGTTTCAAAATCTAAACCCGATGTCTCCTGGAGTTGAAACACCCGCTTTAGTAAACTGTTGTGGTATCTGAATGTGTTAAATTTGTAACGACAACTACTTTTTATAGAAGTTGGTTCGCAAACGTTAGAAAGCGTCTCGCGTGGAGAAATTGAAGCAAAAGGTGGAAAAGAAGACAGATGATTAAATATCGTTGTTGGAATAAAATTGGAAATACAGTAGAGGTAGTCGATCTTGAGATACGACCGTTATATCAATCCGTACTTAGAGGATACAACACAAACTGAGAAGGAAATATCTTCCAAAATGGCACTGCACTTTTAGGTAATTCACAAATGACTTTAATGTTGTCAGCAAGTACTTGATGATCTGAAATCCTGTCTTCCTTACTGTAAAACATTAACAGCAGTGAACACGTACTGTATTTCATTTATTAACCAAGTTATGAGTGGAGTACAGCTGTTCACAGTGGCAGCCAACCTCAGTACCTGTTTGATAAACTGGCTTCAGATGATTGAGCTGATTTACACATCATTCTTGAAAGATGCCAATCATAATTTTCTTCATTCTATATTGAAACAATTATTCGACTTTGTGAACTGTGAATCCCCCAAGACAAGAGTTTGGCATTCAATCTTGTGAATGCAAGTAAAGCAGCACTCGTATTCTGTACCTTATCATTCTGAAGGCATTCTAAAGACCCCTGCCAGACAATATTGTTATCTTGTAACAATTTCTCATCCTGGGTTACCACATATATATTTTGTATCTGAAACCATGAATCTGTGAAGTCTCTTTCACTATATCATTACAAATCAATAGAAATATTAGCTAGTATTAAATTTACTATAATTTTTCGTTGGACAATATATACAATGTGTGAAAGTAATTTGTTAAAAATGTCATATTTTACCACAAGATATCTGAATCACAAACGAAGGTGATCAAAGCCGTGTTCCATCTCTGAAGTCGTTTCAAAGCTCCATGGATAGCTGTATTATCACTGCAGTAGATACAGAGTTGCCGTTTAGTACAAGTTTGGAACTCAATGTCCTACAATATCCTAACCTTAGTGACTTAATCCTTCCTTAATCCTAATCCCAGCACTAATCCTATCCTTAATCCTAATCCCAGCACTAATCCTATCCTTAATCCTAATCCCAGCACTAATCCTATCCTTAATCCTAACTTTAATCCTAACCTTAATCCTAATCCCAGCACTAATGTGTTATTTTGGGTAATATATGCCACACATGACCAGTTATTACCTGGACTCAATACATTGAGCATGTCCACATGTTAGCCAGTAAATATTCATAAAATTAACTAGGAAATGAAGTCCATGTTAGTGACAATCACATTGACCTGACCAAGCAATATCAGTAATGGACAAAGCAATATCAACATGTTTTGCCCCAATCAGCAAAGTCTGAAGATTTTCACAAGGGTTTAAAAACAAGAAACTTACGCTTATCTGTTATTGAATCAGCATTGTTGTGTAATTGTTCAGCAATTATCTCCGCATAATCCAACTCATTCCAACTTACAAAATAATAAAAAAATTGCAAATTGTAGGAAAAAATCATAAAGTTGAATTAATGTTTTAAATATTTGATTGGTATAAATCATAATTACTTGACATTATCTAACTCGTTCAACAAGGTTTCCAAGAACAGGTCATGGTGCATAAATTCAGCAAAGTTAAACCATTCCTTGCCAGGAATTTGTTCGTTACTCTACAAAATACAAGGCATTAGCCTGACTCTGATGGACAAGTCTGAACTTGTGTACCGGTACTGATACTCTTGACACTAGTTAGCCTGTGCTTGCAAAATCTCACCGACTGCCGAAGAACTGGAAGCAACTGAAATAAATTCTTGCTTTCTCCCCACAATGGTACAGGTAAAGCTAAAATAGATGAACAAAGATTTTTAATATAGCTGCATGTTTTTCATAAATTTCAGAAAACAAATCTTTTATTTATAATTAATACATTGCACTAACAATTTGAATTGAAGTGTTCATCACTGCACGATTCTGGCAACTGTAAGATGAGCTGTTTCCATAGCTTTGTGAATAAGTCCGGGAAGAAATTATCGCTTCCTAAAAAGTAAAAAGTCAGTTATAAATTTATGACTATAAAGCAAAATGTTCGAGCTTTTGCACAGCGCAATTAAGCACAGCTCGCTCACACCTTTGCAGTCTTTGCAAGGAGTAGGAAAAGCAATATGGTAATAATACATAGCGGAGCAAAGGCAGAAAACTACTTCTTTATTCAAAACGGGATTTTCTCACTCCTTCGGCAGCCGCCATGTTGTTTCATTTTCCCGCGTATTTTTCGCGTAATTTACACTGAGCTATATTATAGCTCAGTGGTAATTTACGGTATTTAATTTATTAGAACTCAGGTTATTTCCGGATCGCGCCATCGACAAAAGTCTTATGAATTTCGGTGAACACTTTTTTCCATCCAGCAAACCGCCCTATCGATTTTGTAAAGTCGTTTCTTTTTGGATTTTTTCATTAATTCGGTTAGGGTTAGAGTTAGGGTTGAGTGAGGGTTGAGGTTAGG